GGTAGACAACATCCACAGCCTTTCCCTCAATTATGAATTACTCATGCAGGTGTATTTTTGTAGATTGTGTTGCATTAGTGACAAACTTTTGACTTCCAAGTTTTCACTTGGCAACTCTCTTTCAAGCAGGGAATCTGCCAACTCTGAAATAAATATGGGGGGAGGGAGACAATCTAAGAAATTATATCCCTTCCTTTAAAAAAAAAAAAAAAGTCTTTGTTTTCAAAAAATGTTTTAAATAAATATTAATATGTACTGAAAATTAAATCCAACAGGCAGATGATCCAATATCTTAGTCTTTTTGCATAACTTCTAAAAATGCAGAAATATTCTGGAGTGTGTATTTTAGCAAGTTCAAAGATGTGGGAATTAACTTCAGATGGGAAAGTAGATTTGATTGTTCTTGAGGGTCCTTACTGCTCCTCCCACCCCCCAATTTACAAAAAAGTAGTGAAAAAATCATAAAACTTGAGTATAGTAAATTCTGCTTATTTTGGTTTGAATTTCTTTGTGTTGTAGATGTGTGTGTCTTAGTATACATAGTTGGTTTTAATACTCTAATAAGGATGACTGAATGATACTTGTCATCTTGTTGGGTTTCACCTTTATCTACTCACTGCTTGAATTTCTTCACTGCTGTATTTTGTTAGCCATTGTTGTAGATATACAGAGATTTGAATTTAGCTCTAAGGATAGTAGTAACAAAGCTGTTTATAGTTTCAGCTATGCCCATTTCAACTGAATGCCGGTAACAGTAATATAAATGGAGAAAAGGGTACAGTTGGTGACTCTGAACTTAAAAAAAGGTCCAAGTTATCTATAACTTTCCCCTTAACTGACTGCTGTCACCCACTTCTTGTTTACTTAACAGGTACCTTAAAGCAGGCAGTTTTTATTGATGTGATGCTCTAATATGCTATTCTGCATTTCAAGATTTGGTGGGTTTTTACTCTGGAAAACTCACTACTCATTCTGATAATTATTTTTCCTTTTTTTTTTTTGGTGTAATCTGGTGCTCAAACAAATATGCAGTCACAGCTTTTCTTGTGCTCATGCATTCTGTAATAAAGGTGCATTCTTTCTCTAGAGTGGATTTAAGCACAAAGGAGTGGGCTACTGCAACCTTGCAGATTAGTCTGCTATATAAGCTGTCTCTACAGATGTTCCTGTGTTTTACTTTAACAGGACTGTATAGGGGAAAGGGCTTATCCTTACGGTTCCCTTTGCAGAATTAGACAATACAGCTAAGATTACCAGCAGATGGTCTAATTGCAAGGTGTTGTGAGTTCTATTACAACTGCTTTTCTTTTTGTGGTGATGTTATAAAGGTTTTGTTGAGTAATTGCTAAAGCAGGGAGTGGAACAGAAGGAGGGAAGGTTGTTCAGCTCAAAGGAGATGCATGTCTTGCGGGGGGAGGAGGGGAACACAAGTGCAAAGCCAGAAGAATGAAAGAAGAGCTGCCACTTCGAGAAATAAACACTTTTATAGCCCTTCTGAAAACTAACCTTTATTCTGCTTGGTGGCCATTCACAGGAACGTTGTGTTTGTGTGTTTCTTGTGCTAGCATGCACTTCTAGAGGAATAATAATAGAGAACTGCCACTGTTTTAACTATGTAGTTGTGACATTTCATTTCTTTTTGATAAAGAGTCAGAAGATGTACTGTTTACATTTAATCTACAGAATATTTATGTGCCTTGTTCTGGGAAATGAATGCATCTTTCCAAAATGTTTCAGATGAAGATGTGCACGAAGGGCATCTATTTGTCTGAGACTAGTTTTAGAATCAGTTATAGTTTAAAGGGAAGCAGGTCTTAATTCCTGGAAGGAGTCTTGGACACTGGTAAGGAATACTCTGACTTTATTACATAACGTGCCTCTATAAAAATGTTTCAAGTTCAGTATTTTCTTGAAGTGGTGATGTAATGGTACCTAACAAAAGGTACTTCTTCAATTACAGCAATATTTTCGGCTCTGAAGAATCTCCAGGAAAAAATCCATCGACTGGAGTTGGAACGGCTTCAGGCAGAGGAGAATGTAAAACACCTCAGCAGGGAAACAGCAGACTATAAAAAAGTATTAAGTGAGCAAATGCAACACAAAGAGCATGACAAGACTGAAGTGTCAAGGAAAAATCAAGGTTGTTTGCAAACTTCCTATAGATACTACAGAACACTGATCACAGAATCATAGAATGGTTTGGGTTGGAAGGGACCTTAAAGATTGTTTAGTTACAGTGCTCCTGCCATGGGCAGGGACACCTTCTACTAGACCAGGTTGCTCAAAGCCCCGTCCAGCCTGGCCTTTAATACTTCCAGGGATGGGGCATGATGCAGATGAAACTTGACTTTTATCAAAACATAGAACTATTTTAATTTACTTTGTTCAGCATCTCTTACTTTGCAGTGACACATGGCGTTACAAAGAAATTTTAAAAGCATACTTTGTTTTAGGGATTTGTATGCATACAAAAGTTCATTGGGTTTAATCTGTGAGTTTCTTTAGATGGACCTTTTCTTGTTTGTTTTTGAATTGTCCTGAAAACAGAAGAAAATCCCAGGAACAAACAGTGAATGATTTCACTTTTCTGCCTTCTGTTACCGTCAGAACTGGCTTCTCAGCTGGCAGCTGCTGAGTCTCGGTGCAGCCTTTTAGAGAAACAGCTGGACTACATGAGAAAAATGATCCAGCATGCAGAAAATGAGAAGTCGCATCTCCTGGAGAAACAGGTATGTTCTCAAGATAATCTCAAGGTTAAATTATAAAAATCATGAACTATGTCATGATTTTTCATAGTTACTGTAATTTTAATCTCTTTAAGCGTGGATGTCTGTTTCAGCTGGCCTTTATATACTTAGGTGTGGATAATTTCCCTACTTAAATTTACCAGTCTTATCAGGACCCTGGTATTTGCTGTCTTTGTGCACCTGTCTCTAAGCAATATCAGGCTCTGATATTAATAAGAATTGTTTACTTCTGCATGACTGTCTTACTACAGTAGCTCATCCTTACCCCTCAGTGTTATACCTATGTGCCAATGGGAAAAAACCTCCATTTTGTGTTTACTCTCGTCAGATCTTTGGGAATTTTCTTTATTAATACTACTATTGCTAAACTGGGGCTGAAATACTGATTCTGTAGAAGTAATAGTAAAATTTCTGTTTCGCACCATGGGGAATGTGGACTGTGGGATTTGGCCTATATCTAAAATGAGCTTGAATTTTGTTTTATAGAAGCATGAATCACCTAGAGCTCTCTGTTCATTGGTCTCTATGGCTGTCCTATTTCAGTCTATTAAATATTTACTGAAAAAGAAAAAATAAGAAAGCTATCACTAATAGCTGATTAATGAGGGGTTTTTGCTGCATTTATGTTTGGAGGGAGGAGGGACTCTGCAGAATTCTCTCATATCTGAATCTGGTTGAGTGTGAGGTTCTCAACATTGGTGGACCAGTGGTGCAGTTTGTTCCCTAATCATAGCACCGTCTAAAATTGCACAGAGCAAGTAGTCATTCCTTTGGAGTGTTTATGGGCTTCCTGTGTGCTGCAGACAAAAGGCTTACTATAGATGGTCTTGTTTTATTGTGCTTATAATTGTTTTGCTTTTCACTTCTCCCTTCAAGGGTTCATTGGAGAGAGATCGGCTTCTTGATCAGTCACATGTTCAGTCTAAATTGGAAAAGCTGGATATGCTGGAAAAAGAGTACCGCAGACTTACTACGATGCAGTCCATAGCAGAGGTCTGTCATTTGTATTAGATGCAGTATCAGATTTATCTTGTTTATTGTAATCAGCACTTCATAGCTATATGTCAGTACAGAGCTGAGTAAAACTTCATGCTGTAGAGAAAGATAGCGACTAAACATCTTTACAACATTTCAGCTTATAAAAACTTGAAGTTATTGCTGAAAGTCCACATGGCCAGGTAGGCTTTAGATCACTGCACACTACAAGAGTTGTAGTTTTGTTAAGCCTTAACGGTATCTGTTTTGTATTCCTTATTTGTGGTTATTTGGTGCCCAGGCATGTAGGATCACAGGCATTCCTAAGCTCTCAACTTCCAAGTTGCCTTGCATGCTACTGAATACCAGCAGTTATATTCTCTTACGACCTAGATTTCACAGAATCACTACAGTCGGAAAGGACCCTCAAGATCATCAAGTCCAACCGTTAACCCAACGCCACCATGCCCCCTAAACCATGTCCTGAAGCGCCGCATCCACATGTTTTTTTAATACGTCCAGAGATGGTCACTCCTCCACCTCCCTGGGCAGCCTGTTCCAGTGCTTGAACAGTCTCTCGGCGAAGAAATTTTTCCTAATATCCATAATACGTCCAGAGATGGTCACTCCTCCACCTCCCTGGGCAGCCTGTTCCA